GGGGGCGTGTAGGAGGCAGCCGGTCCATGATTCTCTCTCATCATTTATGTTTCTATCACTCCCTCTACCTTCCTTTCTGAAATGAATAAAAATATAAGAAAAATAAAAACAAATCAATAAAAAAAGAAATATCTAGAATAGGCAAATGGAGAGGAAATAGAATAGGCGAGCAGGAGTAGGGGGAGGGGAGTTGCTGCTGAATGGGCACAAAGTTTCTGTTTGGGGTGATGGGAAGATTTGGAAATAGTGGGGATGGTTGCACAATAAATAGTGTGACTGCAATGACTGTCACCTTAGAAGTTAAACTGGGTGCTTTATTGTGGAGAGCGGCTGTAGCAGTGATGGCGAACCTATGACACTCATTTTTTTGGTTGATTTTTCTTTGTTAAATGGCATTTAAATATATAAAATAAATATCAAAAATGTAAGTCTTTGTTTTACTATGGTTGCAAATATCAAAAATTTCTATATGTGACACGGCACCAGAGTTAAGTGAGGGTTTTTCAAAATGCTGACACGCCGAGCTCAGAAGGTTCGCCATCACTGGGCTATAGCGTTCGGACAGGTTCAAGCCTGGGACCAGTGAGAGGGCAGGTCCCCTCGAGGCAAAGCCACGGGCAAGTCCCAGCACAGTGATGGCCAAAGGCTGTAGTTGTGAGCTTGACCTTATGGTCCGCACCTGTGGCCCCACGTGGCTGAGTGACGTGGGCTGCGGAGGTGCAGCAAGTAAACAAAGCTTGACCAGGTGCATGTAATTGAGTGGATTCGAAACCCACGAATTGTAACCACGCCCTTACTGTGCCTCGTGGAATCCGATAAAATAAAGACTCGGCTGGCAGGCCGTGGCGCTGTGTCTCCGTCCGAGAGGAGCCTCCCACCCAGACCCAGCTTTCTTCTCTTGTCAGTCTTCTTCATCCTTCACCGCCCCCAGTTCACCCCTGGCCATGCCGGCTCGGCACACTTCATGTTATGTATACTTTACTCCAATTTTTTTAAAAATATATTTTATTGATTTTTTTACAGAGAGGAAGGGAGAGGGATAGAGAGCCAGAAACATCGATGAGAGAGAAACATCGACCAGCTGCCTCCTGCACAACCCCCACTGGGGATGTGCCCGCAACCAAGGTACATGCCCCTGATCGGAATCGAACCCGGGACCCTTTAGTCCGCAGGCCGAAGCTCTATCCACCGAGCCAAACCGGTCTGGCATTACTCCAATTTTTTTAAAATTTAAATACTTTATTGTTGAAAGTATTACATATGTCTCCCATTTCCGCCATTGACTTCTCCCCAGCCATCCCTGTCCCCCAGCACATGTCCCCGCCCCCCTACTACCTGTGTCCTTCGGTTATGCGTATATGCCTGCATACAAGTCCTTTGCTTGATCTCTTATCCACCACCCCACCACCCCCTTACCCCAATTCTTAAAGAGTAACAGTTGCAAGGACCAGCTCCTGAGCCAGGATGGGGCTGCCTTCCTTTGGCGGGAGAGGGAGGCGTTTGGCTGGGCTGTGGTGTCTGCTGCCCACCAGGAGGAATTGGGAGATTTCAAGTTCAGAACGGAACCCACCAGCACTGAGTGGGGGAGTGTAGACAGATCACAGCTGTCACTGGG